TTTATATATTATTAGTATTACTTGTTGTTATTTTTAGAACATTTTAAATGTTTTTTATTATACTAGTTTATAAATATATTAAGTTCATTATTGTCTATATATATATATATATATATATATATATATATATATATTTATGAGAAACTTAATAAAGATTTGATAAAAGATTGGGTTCAATTAATATCAATTTGCTTAGATATTTGGGTTGAAAACAATAGAAAAAGACAATAAATACTACGCTTTCATCGTGATACCATACCAACTTTATATTAGTTTATTAATGAACAAACTTCTACGTGTTAGCATTTTTTAATAAGCGGTATCTTTAAGATAAGAAATCTATCTATATAATTTAGCAATAACTGATTATATTTAATATTGTAACTGAACCTACCTATTTACAGTTACGTATTATTTATAGACTTCTATTCGTGTTTAACTACAGTAACGATCACATTAAAGATATGCATCTTTTAAGATAATTTTTTAATATTTTTATAATAATAATTACTCGTAGCTTTTTTTTACGATAACTAGTTTTTGTCTATTAAGTATTGGTAACACTCAGGTTATTCTGGTTTTCCCAAGAGACTACAGCACGAGGTTCTTCAGCGGTAGTATTGCAGGCGTCTATAGGCTACGGTAACCTCTTACCATCCAGTGGGCCGTATGCTTGTTTACCACCTCAGTGGTATTAAAAAAGTAACCAATAGGTATAATGGTCTATATCAAATTACATTCAAATCGGATCAACCATTTAATCGGATTAACGAACATCTTTACAAATTTTCCAAGTTACATTACAGACTCGCATTTAGATTGATTAAATCTTCAATTAAAATCGACTCATTATGAAATTCGAGAAATTACCTGTAAATACTAATACGTAATGTAACACCGCTTAAGATAATAAACAATCCTTAATTACATTAAATCAAATATTCCGTAAAACACCAGTTCGTGTTTCAGAATAAATTGTTAACAAAGTTAGTAGTTTGTACACGCTTCATTTAGCTCACTACTTTGAGTCTTGTATAATGAAAAACCATTCACATGGCCCATATTATGGTACATATCCATCTCACTATACATACTTTAAACAATAAAGCTAATGATCGCAGCAGTGTGTTGAAAATATTCAACTTTCTTTTAAAATATTTTCAATATAATCTAATTTATGATTTAATTGCAATGGCAATTATAATGTTAAATGAAATTTTAAATCAAAAGATAAAATTGTCGCCACTTCGTAATTTAATTTAAGCAATAAAAGTAGGAATTTTTAAATTAATTTTCTTTCGCACACTTGAAGGTATATTGAAGATTAGGTATTATGACGTGATACCATAATGGAGCTACGACTCCGAATGTCTTATAGTCTTATACATAGTCAATGGACGCAAGTAACAAAGGCCCGTTCTTTGTGAATGCCTCTAGGAGAGACTTAAGTGCAGCAATGGACAATGAACTACTGCAATAATGAAGAATTACCACTTTATATTAGTTACGTCATAAGCTAGTTTAAAATTTTTAATAAAATTTTATACCTCTCAGCAGTAGAGTTAACAAGAAATGGGTAATATTCAATATCTATATATTGAGTTCTTTGAACATTAATGGCCACCCATTGCTATATCACCAATACCAGTCACATATCTATAGTCATTATAAGCGAAATCTTTATTTCTACATTATACATTGGATATTCGATAGTTAATATATCTGCTATTGGGCCAATATATGTATAGATATTGTGACCACAATATATTGCTATATTATTACTCACCTTTAGGGTTAACTTCCTTTGTTTTACTTTATCATTTTTCTTTAGCCTTACCAACGACATCAAAGCCCTCATGTCTTTGGTTATTTAACCATGGATAGACAGTTATATCACCAGGCTTCCTGCTCTGTCAAGTATTCTTTTTTAGTCCTGAGTCAGTATTTCTTATTAATAGATATATGTTCTACCTGTTTTAATCGAACAATGTTACAGTATATAGGTTTTTTTGAAATTAAGACGAACACCTTCTAAATGAAATTTGTAGCAAATAGAAATATTCAATTAATTAAATGGCTTTTTATTTGTACAACTAACTATTGAACATCAGCATATTGTATTACAGTCAGGTCAATTATTAATTAGTGTACACTTTTATTAGGTTCTGTTAAACCACACTATAAGCATAGGTATAATAAGTATATGTACATGTATATGTATAATAAGTACCTATCTACCTATGGGATATGAACCTTACAGAGATATATTGATCTGTTTTTTTGTTTGCGACTATCACGCGATCTATTAGTCCGGTGAAGATATATTGTAATTTATTCCCGCAGTTAATGTAATTTTTATTTGATCCAGATGTTTCTCAACTTGTACTGAAATTATGTATATTTTTATCGTTTTATAAAGTTTTTATGGGTGTCATCAAATTTAAATCTATAGTGATATAATAATAATTATTAAAAAATATTGTGTATATTTATTATCAAAGTTTAAAGTAAAAAAAATATATAATATTAGCAGTTGAATGGAAAAGGATGCTTTTGTATTCAAAGTTCGATATCTCGGAGACAAATGGTCGTAATTGAGCCATCCAAAGCGATTTTTGAAGCTGAATAAACACGCTAAGAGACCTATACAATGGAGTAGCTCAAAAATTTTTTTCCATGCCCATAGAGTGAAAAACGAAACCTAGAAAATTTAGAAAAAAATTATTTTCAGCTTTGTTTAAGAATTGCATGGAAACCGGAGCTCAAAAAATTTTTTCACCAAAAAATCTGAAAACTAGAGTTTTCAAGCTTCAAAACACTTTTTTTAAATTTCCTGTACGATTATTTTTCACTGAAATACAGCCTGTTGAAAATCACCCAAAAATTTCAAAAATTTTTATGTTCCCTTAATTTTTGCGAGGAGTGTATTATCGCATCATCGTCATTATATCGTCTGTTATCTGTCCGCTGCCGAATATAGAGCTCCCCCATATACTGTCATAAGGAACGGCCCTGAGCTACCTACATCCACAGACTCTCTGCAATGCGTTTGAGGTCATCACTCCATTTAATGGGGGAAGAGTCATCTTTCACTGCGTTTGCTTACACGAGGTCGCCACTCAAGGACCTTTCTTCCCATCGGTTGTCAGTTGTTCGAACTATGTGACCAGCCACTACCACTTCAGCTTGCTTAATTAATCTTCGGGCTATGTCGGATAATAATAATAATACTTATCGCATAATGCGAATACAAATAAAACTTTTTCATAGCTGTTAATTTATAGTTAGGTATTTAAAATGTCCCTATAGTTTATAAGAGATTAGAACTGACGTGAACATGTAGGAGAATATCTGAAGTCATTTGCATAGATTTTCTCGGTGTTCTGTATAACAAACAGAATGTATGAAGATCTAAAATATAAATAGCGTCGAAAGCACTAAATGCCTTAACTTAAAGCTTAACACGTTAAGACATTCAATGTTTATATTAACTAAACTTACGCTTAAAATAATATCACAGTACTGTTCTTAGACTGTATATAGTAGTAGTAGAAGCCTCTTAGTTACAAGGAAGATGGGAGTTTTATTTTATGTATTTATTTTTCTAATTTTCTTACTTTTATTCTTGGCGTTCACTTGTCTTACTGCTGTTACAAACTTGTGTTATTTGCTGCTATAAACTTGAGCTGCAATTTCATACAGCAAAAGTTTGTCGTTGTATAGAATTTTAATAAAACTTACAATTGAAACTATTAGCATCTTTTTTAGGAATTTTCCCTATCAGCAAAATTGAACACTATTCTCAAAAAAGGATTGATTCTTCTGTATCAACTTCAGAGTCTGGATGCGCGTATTAATATAAGTAGTTATAATTTTATTTAAAGTTTTTCTACACTTGTTATTTGGCAAATAATGTACTCTTTCAAAAGATACTAAAAAAGATGAAATTAAAGGAAATTAATAGAATTCTAATGCATATATGTCATAGCGATTTCGGGGTAGTCTCAACCTATGGAATATGGAATAATAGAAGGCCAATTTCTCCGATAGGAACCATCCCCCTTCTCCTCCTCCATATTCATCGATCTACGAGTAGTGATATAAACTCATTGGTTGCAGACTTACGAGCACTTTTAAATTGTTCATTTTTAGTTCTTCACTTATTTGATAAACATACAGCTGTCTAGGGCGCCTCCTATTGGTATGCATTAAAAAACTTCTCATAACGGTTTTCTATTAAAATTGAAAAACAAATCTAGTTTTTTTTATTGTTAATACAGATTAAATAAATATATAAATTCATTGACCAGAATAAAAATAGCCTATGTTCTTCTTCGTCACAAATATTACGTAATACCAAATCATGACATTTAGTTGAACTGTTTAAGCATCAAGACGCAACAAAAGAAACAAATTCACTTTTATGTTTATAATATTACTAAGAATAAGTTTTGTATACTTTTGCACTAGAACTAGTTTAATAATGTGAAATTAAATTTATTTATTTATACATTATATATATTATTTGCACCTACAATTACGAATAAACCTATTTATATCGTCACACATATCAAAAGATTTTTTATAATAATACTTGCTTATTAAAAAGAATAAAATCTCTTATTAATTTTTATTTACGCTTCTATATATTGGATTAAAAAATATAGCACATTCTTAATTGCTAATGTTAAGATGATAAATTGTAAACTTTATGTCTAGTTGAAGTTATAGTCAGTTACTATTATTATTACTATTCACTATAAGTTATCTTAATATTTTTGTCATTATCTATTATTAAAGGAATTATCCTTAACTTTAATTTAATGGCCATTTTGATCATGTGCATTATAAAAAAACAAGAAAAATGTACATACATTTAGTCCTTTCAATAGATGTTTTATGTATTTTTTTTTAACAATCAAATTCCATATTACATTTTGCAAATATTTTTATATTCACAAAAAAATATGAAATTTGTTTATTTAGAGTACTTGACTTACTACCATTCCCTATTGAACTGCTTTTGTTTAAACTGGATTCACTCAAAGATGATGTCACCTTGGTAACCGTAGGAAACTAAGAAAAATAGTTTTTTTTTTATTATATTGTAACACTAACGAGTTAAACAAGTATCCTACTGAATTTATATTATACTATAAATATATATTATATACTTTAGGACACTACTTATTTAAACTTTCTGAATAAACTTTTTCGATACACTAAAAACAATTAAATATTTACACAGTAACTTTTTCGAACTTTTATAACTTTTCGTTATAACATACAAATATTACACAAGATAATAACACTATTTTATTATTTTTGATATTTGAATTAAATCATTCATTAATAAAGTTTTGGCACGTCGAAAGGCGATTACGATGGAACGTGCAATCGAGACAGTGAACGAAACCCAACTGAACTCCACCAAGCATTAGGGGTGCGTCCTTTACTCAAATTTTGTTTAACACAACCAACAATTTGTATATATTAATTTGATAAGTTACTCGCACAATGTCACCGTCACGTACGGACATTCGGAAAAACTCTTTGTTCAACCCTATGTCTCTATTTTCTTTTTAAAGGGTGCGATAAAAGAGACAGTGAGTAACATTTTCGCATTATTTGTCGAAACGAAAGCAGATATTTTCTTTATAGTGAGACATAAATCCTTAGTTTAATATCTTAAATGAAAATTAGATTTTGATATGTAACTAATGGTATTAAATATTTCAAAAGGTTGTTAAATAAATATTACGCTAACATTTCGAATCTAGTTTATCTGATGTCAGCCTAGATGTAATTAAATTAAGTTTTTGACGTTATTAAAAACATTATTGATGTACCTATATATTCTTTGCACCTAGATATATTTCATAAAGTAGTGTTATAATTTTTCCTTACTAACATTATGTGAAAATCAATTTGTTTATTTGTAACTTTTTAGCGCTTTAACTACTTAATGGGATAGAGATTACATTTATCTCATTCAATTAATGCGTTCTGTTAATATGTATGAATTCGCGGGCACAATTAGCTAATTATACTAGTTTATATCGAGATTTTTTTAATTTTTAACTGAATTCAGCTATTAAAGGGGCAAGAAGTAACAAACAAACTCATGATCATCTACATAACATTAGTTATCATCATCATCATCATCATCATATCAGCCTTTAACCGTTCACTGCTAAACATAAGCCTCCCACCTGGGGGGAGGGGGGTATTGCCAGTAGTTGCCAAGCAGATTGGCAACAGCAGTCAGGCTTTAGAGATGTTTTAATAGGAAGGCTGGTGCCTATCATTCGCCGTCCCTTAGTCGATTTTTACGACACCCACGGGAAAGGAAGGGGTGGCCTATTCTATGCCGAGACCACACGGCCCATAACATAAGGATTCAAAAACTATAATACTTGCTATATTCAGTACAATATGATACAGATATCCAAGTCGTAGAACTAAGTATTAGTATTTTAAATTCTATTTATAAATGTGAAAGTATGCAAAAATGTTTGTATATTTATTATTTAATAACATCTAAATGACTCTACGCTTTAAATGAAAAATACACTGGTGGGGTATATCCTATCTTAACAAGTAGGTACTTTATATATTTAGGAATGCGGGGAAAGCCTCGGGAAACAGCTAGTAGTATTATATAAATAAATTCCAATAAGAAGTCACAACATAAACTTATATTCAAATAGATATATTGCGAAGTTGTAAGATTATTTGTTATGTTTTACTTGCTATAATTTATCACACCTATCTACCTACAAGACAATGCACCGTCAAGAACGGATGCTCCAAATATGATCATGTAATTGAATAAAATAAGGGGACATAGACTCATAAATTCAAACAAAACAACTTCCATCGTTCTTGTCAACATCCGACTGTCATGGCGGCATGACGCTTTATTATATGAAGGAACATTTAAAGAAATAATCATCTTCCTCGCTTTACAAATAAGTATAATTATCATATTTCATAAATTCTTTAATTAATACGCTGACGACGGAGGTAAGTATAATTGATGGGGTAGTCAAAGACATGGAGCGTTTTTATAGTTTAACGTATTATTCGACGATAACATACGATTTCACCTTCGCAGTATGATAGGAGAGCCAAATATAGATATGCATTTGTATGGCGTATGGAGACGCTTTTAATTTTCCGCCACAATAATATCGCAGACTTTTACGATATTACCATGCACGTATACAATATCGTGTCTACTGTAATCTACCTATTTCTAGTTCTCATATTTTGGCCGATACTAGATTTTATTTTGTACTAACTTCTATTCTGTGCCCTTTGTTTTTTAGTCTAATTACACTTTTCAGAAGACGTTAATGTATCAAAATAATCAATATTACACGAGATTACACAAGATACTCGTACTACGGAGATTCTTTGAAAGTAGTAGCCTTAATCTGTTAGTTAATTTATACATTAAATATTAAAGTACTGTATTTTGTGTTCCTAAGTAAACATGACTATACATTGCTTGTAGGATAACTCGCATTATTGGCCATGTGAAGCTCATTTTCTCTCTTATTTATGGGAGCTCCTAAAACGTAAACTTATGTGCAAACTTTCAAAGTACATTTTATGGTTCCGGAGATTTTATATTAGTGAGTTAATAATATTTTTATATATTTAGTTACTATTTATAACCCGGACCTTTACTCGAGTGGCTTAGACTAAAAATATATAAATTAGTTTAGGACATAATTTTCTTTTTTGTCAAATGTCATTCAAATTCGTTCAGCCAATATTGATAAATATTAAAACATATCAGTACAAAATAAATTCTTAAGAAAACACCTACTTTAGACGCGATATCTGAGGTATTATAAAATAATGTTTGATTGACAATTTGACGATTGTTTAAGACATCTACAGGATACCTATCTAACTTTTTGAAGAAAACCCATTTTCAAATTAGTAATACATTAAATATTTCTTAGGATTGTTACTAAACTAAGATTAATACGCCAAAACCTATTTCTTGAAAAATAACGAATAATTAATAATGTACACAATCCTAAAAGCATTTTGAAAGCTTGTTTTGTCTGTATTTATCATTGTCCAAATTATTTTTATGGTTGTTTTTTCGTTTAACTGACAGTAATGCTAATTACGTACTAACGTGCAGAACAAGTTTCTTCATAATAAACAAATTTCGATGTAAGTAAGTCTTAAGGGTTTATCACCATTCAGGGATTTACTATTACTAGGGTTTATCACCATTCAGGGATTTACTATTACTATCTAAGGTACTATTTTTTCTTTTGCAGAATTAACCCAATCATGATAATACTATGTGTGATTTTGTAATTTGTTATATTGAAATCTGTCTGTGTGTTTGTTATATTGAATTGAAGTCGGGGGGGGGGGGGGGGGGTAGAAGAGATTGTTAGCGATTATACTGTGTGTATGTAATTGTTTCTATTTATAATAATTTTACTATTGTAATCGCTTGGAGGAAATAATAAAAAGTCTATTCTAATAAAGAATCTATCTGTCTAGCAATGTTACTAATCAGGTCGACCTCCACGTGGTTCTCCCTGGAAACCATCGTGGTTACTTCTCGTAGAATTCTTCACGATGGGCTAACTGAACTGCTTTCATCCTCATCTATCGTCTCTCACTGGTACCCTGCCAGTGTATACCGATAACGCAGACGGGGTTACTATTTCATTCTCACCAATTAAAAAAATTATAAAAGTCAGTGTATAAAACAATTTATTATATCTCCTCATTTTTATGTATTTCTACTTTATGTACGTATATGTTCATTAATTATTCTGACTGTAAATGTCAATTAAATTCTTGAACTATATAGCTATTGCATATAATCACATAGGTTTTTTGAATGGATGATAATGGAATGATAACCTGGCCTGCGCTATCGGTATACGCTGGCGGAGCACCAGTGAGTGATAAGTGAGGATGTAGCAAGAGAATAAATATGATTTGATTTGATGAAAGGGCAGGTCAGTTAGCCCATCATGATGAATTCACATGAAATTCAGGACGATAGTTTCCAGGGGGGACTACGTGGAGGTCGACCTGATAAAGTGTATTATTAGCATTAGGACTGATAAACCGCATTACTAACAAAAAAGTAACTGTTGAATTTCTTGCGGATTCTTCTCGGCAAATAACAACATTCCAAATACAGCAGTATAATCAAAAAAAAATTAACGGTTTAAAAGAGCTCATAAATAAGTCCATTTTAATAAAGATTATTTCTATTCTATTCTATTCTATAGATCTATTATTCATCTTAATATTTCTTTAGACGTAGGTTTTATTGTTATGCCTGGACCAGACATGAGCCTAATTACTTTTCATGCTAAGGTTATCTGAACGATATCGCTCTTTACAATAAGGTCGAATACTTTACCTCTTACATCAAACAAAATAAACTATGCTCTCCTTGGGATCCTTTACATTTCACTCTAGAATGTTACATCAGAATCGTCAAGTATCAAAAATTATAATGACTTTTCTCCTTCAGTTCGAAACATTATCAAACTACGCACGGCACTCACTCACTTGATATTATTGTATTTTTACCTATATATAAATATTAATATAATTATTACTGCTTAGTCTTTAAAAATCGTATGATTTTTAAAGACTCTAAGCAATAATAATAATATATATTATCCTTACAGACATTTGCTCTTTTAAGCTGACCTCGCCTTCTTTTCTGTGATGAAAAAAGGGGGGCACCTCATTTGCTAAATACCTACATGCATACAGATATGTGCGTGTACATACGTCATCTGTTTTATAATAGTGACAACCTGAAATTAATCATAATAATAATTATAAAGTGCCCAAGACGTTTTAAAAGGCGACATTTTGTAATATCCGTTATTCTCCACATTGTATCAGCCCATATCTTTCTGTTTAGTTAAATATTTTTGTTATTCCTTGTTCTTAGAGTTTAGTGTGCTAATGCGAGACTTTATGCCAATGTCATCCATCTATTACCGACCAGTTTGACAATATCACCTGACTATCTAGTTGGTATGTGTTTATGTTTCGTTGTATGTATATGTTTCGTATGTTTCTATTTTTTCGTATGTTTCTTATTTTATATGTTTCGTCCTCTAATTGTTCAAATAAATTTTGGATGCACTCTAGAAAGAGGGAAAAATATAAATGGCTGATCAAATTACTATGTATTTGGTATATTATTTATACACACACTCTTTAACAAAATTAGATATCAAACTGGAAACAACAGTAGTATAAATGAGATACAAATCAGTGATTATTCACTAAATCACGAAGCTTGCTTTTCAGCAGCAGCTTGCAATTATTATATGGACAAATAAAATGACATCATTCATTCTTTACATTTTACCAATACTTCCAG